CTCTGATTGGACATAAGGATAGTACATCCTTAGTATCCTGTGGTCTAAGGACTAACGAAAGTGCTGGGATGTGGAATTGCTATGAAGTCCCATCTCAATCCCAGATGTATGATATTGCGATGTGCATCAAACCGTATTCGTTCAAAGTCCAGAGCATCTATTTCTGACATCCGAGCTGCTGTTGCCAAGGCGACCAGGAACAGAGTTTTATGTGTTAGAAACTCATAGGATGTCCTTCCTAGTGGTTCATAAGCATCACTGGTGAGATGCTGTAAGACTACGTTGAGATCCCAAGCAGGTGCTTTGAATTTCTTTTGTTGGCCTTCCAACTTATAGGAGCGTAGTAGAGCTAGTACCTCTGGTACTTTAGTCAGTTTCACACCTGTCTTCATGGTGATAAATGTACTGAGGGCCACTAGGTATGTAGATAGTGTTGAACCTTTTAACCGCCTTGTTTGTCTTAGATGACAAAGATATTCCGCCACTTGTGGATGTGTTGCTTCCATTGCCGTGAAGCCCTTCCTTAAGGCGTATTTCTCAAAGCTCTGCCACTTGTCGTCGTACAAGCTGCAAGTTGATCTACGTAGAGCCAATGTGACTGCGTTCGCTGCTCTGGCGGAGTATCCTCTTTTCTTCAAGCAAGTTTTAATACGTTCCATGCCTGTAGTTGGAATACTGTTGGATTGCCATGTACTTGCTTGGTGTGCGGATGCATTAGTAGGTTCGGCCACCCTGGAAGTTGTAGGGTTGGATTTCCGAGTTCTTTGGAACCGGAGAGACGAATGTTGGCATTTGTTTGTTGAACCTTGTAGCAAACAGTTCTATCAGTGGAGATCCTATCCTCTGTATGATGCATCTGAATGCTTCCGGGTGTAACATCCATTCCGTCGGGGATGGTTGTGTTGGATGAGATAGGGCGTCTGCTATAACATTCTTGGCTCCGGGAATGTGACATGCTTTCCCGTCGATGTTCAATTTGTCTATTATGCTGAACAGATGAAAGCTGAGATCTAGTAGATTCCTTGATCTTGTTGATCCTTGTTTGTTGATGTAGAACGCCACTGTGGAGTTGTCTGTGTGGATCATCAGTTGTGCGTTCCTTAGTAAGCTGGACCAGTGTAGTAAGGCGTTTATGACGTTCCATGCCTGTAGTTGGAATACTGTTGGATTGCCATGTACTTGCTTGGTGTGCGGATGCATTAGTAGGTTCGGCCACTCTGGAAGTTGTAGGGTTGGATTTCCAAGTTCTTGAATGAGGATGGGAAACCACACCCTCGCTGGCCAGTAGGGCTCGACCAAAATCAGTTGCAGGTTCTTCGTCTGCTTGATTTTCTGTAATACCTGCGGTATTACAGCTGGAGGTGGAAACGCGTATGCGTTTAGTCCTTCCCAGGAGATGCTTAGAGCATCTGTTGCCCATTCTTGTGGATCCGGAACCGGAGAGACGAATGTTGGCATTTGTTTGTTGAACCTTGTAGCAAACAGGTCTATTAGTGGAGATCCTATCCTCTGTATGATGCATCTGAATGCTTCTGGGTGTAACATCCATTCCGTCGGGGATGGTTGTGTTGGACGAGAAAGGGGGGGGCTGCTATCACATTCTTGGCTCCGGGAATGTGACATGCTTTCCCGTCGATGTTCAATTTGTCTATTATGCTGAACAGATGAAAGCTGAGATCTAGTAGATTCCTTGATCTTGTTGATCCTTGTTTGTTGATGTAGAACGCCACTGTGGATCAGCAGTTGTGCGTTCCTTAGTAACCTGGACCAGTGTAGTAAGGCGTTTATGACTGCTTTCATCTCGAGCATGTTGATGTGTAGACTTTGCTCCTGACTCGACCATTTCGCTGCTGCCTCTTCGTTGTCGAGGTGGGCTCCCCATCCTTGGAGTGATGCATCTACGTAGAGATGTGTGTTGTACTCTGGCTCTGATAAGTAGGTTCCTCCGCAAATATTCGACTTCCGTGTCCACCATAGGAGATATGGTTTCAGTCCGTCCGGCAGTCCGAACTGTCTAGATGAGCGTTCACGAACACTTGTAGTGGGCGCAGTTGTAGTCTTCCTCTGCGTGTCATGTCTTGCGCTTACGTGAGGAGACCGAGTAGGCTCTGACAATTTCGTAGTGGTAACGGAGAGAGTAGTGCTTGAGATATCATCTGTTGTATCTTGACCCAACGCTCCTCTGGAACGATTATGTGATTCTGAGATGTGATGAATCGTATTCCTAGGAATTGTAGATCCTGTGTGGGTTGTAGTTCCGATTTGAGGAGATTTACTAGCCATCCTAGTTGTGTAAGTAACCTGATCGTGAAGTCTAGTTGCAGTCTGAGTTGACTGGGATCTTGAAGAGCTTGAATCCCGTCGTTCAGGTAAAATGCACTGCGTAGACCTCGATGATGTAGATAAGTGATGATTGGCTTTGTCACTTGAGTAAACAACCAGGGGGCCGACAATATTCCAAATGGTAGCACCTTCCATTGGAAATGACCTCCGTTGAAAAGGAATCGTAGATATTTCCTTCAGTCCGGATGTATCGTGATGTGAAGATATGCATCCTGTAGATCTATGCTGGCGAAGTAGTCTAAAGGACGTATGAGTTGTCGCAGTTGAGGTAGATGTATCATTCTGAACTTTGCTGGGCTGCGTAGATAATCTTGGTTGAATTTCCTCATGTTGTATGTAAGTCGGAACTTTTCCCTGGCAGTTTTCTTTGGTACTAAGAATATTGGGGAGTAAAAACCGGGCGTGACAAACTCCTGTTTCATTTCTTTCGATCGCCTCCTTCTCGAGTAGAGTTGTGATAGCGTCGAGTAGATTCTCCCTCTGGTCGGCTGCATAGTTGTTGGTCAGAGAGTTGCTTGTCAATGGTGGTACTGCTTTTAGTTGTATCTTGTATCCTCTGAGTAGGATCTGGGATACGTAGTCGTCCTGAAGAATTCCCCAATTCTTCCAGTAGCGTTGTAGACGTCCACCCACTGTTGAAGGTTGTATGGGAACGGCTGAGGGTGGAAGACTCCAGTCGTTCCGAACCCGTCCTTCAGCATCTAAAGTTCCTGGCACCTCTGGATGCCCTGCCTCTTCCGGGGTTACCTCTGGGAGCTCCGGTTGGGCGACGAAAGAATCCTTGCCTCCTCTGGAGCTGCCATATTTCTTTTCCCTGGCTCTTTGTATTCCTGTGAACTTCGACTTGCCGGAGTAGCGTTGCGAGGCCTGACAGATAACACTGGCTAGTGTGTCGATGGACTTGATCATCATTACCTCCCTTGACTCTTTGGTTACTTCCTTGGCCATGTCCTCAATTTCCCTGCAAAGATAGATGGTTCCATGTGGTGAAGAGAGAACTTCTTAGCGTTGAATGGTGGGATGCTCTGACTCTGGAACTTCATTGCCTTCCTGAAGGCTGTGCTGAGATTCCTCGGTACATCTGCGACCGGATCGATGGGTGGAAGACTAAGTGTATCTAAGTCCTCGTTAGACATCCTGTATGTAAACACTTCATTATCCGCTTTTGTGGAGACCTTCGCGAATGCTCCTGATGGCTGTCCATATCAGAGGAGGATGATCTGCGATGCTCCGGTGAACGTCTGGTTCTGTTCCCTCGCGAATGCTCTTTCGGTGAAGGTGTCCAAGTACATCGTAGAGTGTGCGATCCTTCGCGCATGCTTCCTCCTTCGCGAATGCTTAGCGCATGCTTCCTGCTTCGTGAATGCTTCCACCTTCGCGCAGGCTTCCTCCTTCATGAGTGCTTTCGTGCATGCTTCCTCCTTCACGAATGCTTCCATCTTCGCGCATGCGTCTGCCTTCGCGCATGCTTCCTCCTTCGTGCAGGCTGCTGTCATCGGTGGTCTGTGATCTGCAGGCTGCTTTTGATGTAGATGGGGCGTCTGTCGCTGCCTTCTCTTGCACGAACCTTCACTCCATCATGTCCATCATCTGCTGTGTAAACTGCTGCATGAAGACCCCAGGGTTGAAGCTCTGCGACGACGACTGCTGCTGCTGCTGCTGCTGCACTGCGTACGACGCATCTGAGAGTGTCGAGGCTTCTCCCCAGGACTGTGGCACTTGTGACGAACTGCTATCTCTATCTGATGTCTGCGTTGTGATGACTGTTGCTGTTGCTGTAGATGAAGACCTCGTCTTCCTCACTGGCACTTCAGGGATGAGGATTGGTGGCTCATCATTAACGTCTACTTCATCAGCTGGGATGATCTCTGTAGCAAAAGACCTTGTCTTAAGCGCTGCCCCATGTGAAGACTTCGCCGGAGTCTTAGTAGACGACTTCTTCTTCTGAGAAGACGATGTCCTCGTCTTCTTCGACTGCGATGAGGTTAAAGTTGATGTAGATGACCTCTTCTTGGAGCAGGAGCTGCCATCAGACACAGCGACCTGCTCCGTAGACGCAGCCGGTAAACTACTAGAATGGTGAATGTCAGTAGGCAACAACAAACGGTTATCAACACAATCATTTGGTTTAGACATGACTTGTGAAAGTCGTCTACCCATGTCTTTGGCACGCCTAAAAATGGAATATAAATAGTTATTAAATTCAACTTCAGTTAAATGCTGACAAAATTGACAGCGAAAGCTGGAAGAACATGGAGAAGTACAATTAGGACATGTTAAATGTGGATCAGCAAATGACAATCGGAGTCTGCAACGACTGCAAGATTTCATAAAAAATAAACACGATGAAAACACATGTCAACAACGTGAACAAATACAGATAATTTTGACAAAATTTCAAACCATATTGTTGGTATATCAATCCTAAAACCGTATACAGCTAATTTAGTAGCAAGGCCTAAAAGTTTAAAGGATATAACGCCGTATAGGGGACCCAGGCACTCTCACAACTGTCCTCAAGGGCGAAGAAGGAGAGAGTAAGGGGCATGTCCGAACATGTGACATGGTTTTCTCGCCAAAAGAGTCAAAAGGGAGATAACACTGGGTGAGTGATTTTACGTCTGCTTTTTTGACGGGAGCTTCAAAAGGGGATTAAAGTGTTCCACTATCATTCACAAGAAGAAAGAGACAAGCAATTAAGCATGAGTCAGGATAAGGAAAAATAATAATCTTCCTAAAAACACATCAAGATATAGGAACATGACATACAGTAACACAATAATATTCATAAAGAGAGTTTTGAAAAATCTTGAATAAATAATAAAACAGGTCCATGTTTTCAACCAGTTCCTGAATGACTTGTAACACATGTTATAATGGATAACACTTTCTCAGTGGACTTGTCACTTTAACTCAACAGATGCCTCCAAAGGTTGACAGGTATCAGTAACTCACAGGCCAGAGAGAGATTCTGAACAGATTATAGCAGATGGTCCACAATGGTTAATGAGCTTATGTCCAAGTCACATGCAACCAATCATTCTAATGCTGTAGACACATGACACAGGAAGACATGTCAGAAGTAAGTAATTCCTATCATGACTACTTCTCGACTAACAGCACAGGATATACCGCCATACTTGCCCTAAAATAGTATGGATTTGTGATGTAATCTATTCTGAGTTACAATTCCACATTTTGAATGTATCCTGTCAGCTGACATACAATATACAAAAGTGATTTGCATGCAAGAAAGGTATTTTTATGATTAACTATTCCAAAAAAAACTAGGAGCTGAAAAAACAACTCTTTCCTAATTTACTGGAACCTAGCACTGATGTTTGTAGCAAGTAGCGAAAACACTCTCTATTCACGTGTCAGTCCAGTGGAGATATTTGCTATAGTTCTTAGATTCAGAGGTGTTTTAAAGCCTCTTCCTCTTCACTGGTCCTGAAACTGAAACACATCTTGATCCCACCAATCTAGGACATCTCATATGATATTACTCCAAGTAAGTCAAAGACCACTCACAACTGGAAGGCTGTGTTCCATAACAGATTGACTATAGTCACATAAACAAACTGGGTGCTGTTTAGCTTCCTTTGGGCAGAATGTATGAACATGACTTGAAATGTTATTATTCCATTTTGTGATTTTTTTCTGAATATTGCTGAAGATGTAGGGCTATATACCAGGCCTGGGATCAGGTCAAATAAATCCATGATGTATGTTGCACTTGATCATGAGTATTTCTCCTGCTCTGGTTGGTGATACACGTAGCTCTGTGATGGAGGAGAGTACGGAGAAGCTGCAGCCTGCGGGAATCCTGCAGGATGACCAGCAGGAGGAGCTGATGGGTCCCCAGGTCCAGACAGCACGGACATCTGGATACATTCAGAGTAGCTCGGAGGTGCTGGGGAAAAAGGACTGAAGATACAAACATTCCATCCTTTTTATTGAAATTAAACAGTCTAAGTAAACTTAGGCTCAGTATTATTCGTTACACTGCTGTGTCTAACAAACCCTAGTAGAAGGTCGCATCAGCTAACCTTTGAGCGACCTGTGACCGTCCAATCAAATGTGAGACGGACGAACGGATTTAACCAATCAGACAACAGCTACTATTTAGGTTTTGGCGGGACTTTCAAAATTGCCCCGTCACTAACACTGATCTCTCAACAAATCTGCATAAAACACAGATATTTGACCTGCAGTATATACGCTTAGGGCTTTCTGATGACATGGTTACCATTAGCTAATATTTCCGCAAGCTGACTTCCTAGAATACTGACAAAACACTATTTTCAGCGACTGTTTACTCACTGCTGAGGTGTGCTCCATGTGCATCACTCAGAAGCGATCGTACGGAAAATAGCATTCAGAATCGTTCGGGTACAAACTTTTATGAGGTAAAAGTTCAAAAGGTATGTGTGAATGTCAAATTTCGTGATTTGGTAAGCTGTGTTCTGATAGGTCAGTTCAAATGGTTAGCTGATGCGACCCTCTACTAGGATTTGTTAGACTCAGTATAATAATAATACGTTATTGCCCAACAAAGGAATTCCTTTTAAAACAGTGAGGCATACAGCATGGTTAAAACAAATTAAGCAAAGAACAACGATCACCTTAAACACACAGATAAACAGGATGAGAAGGATAACCAGTGTATACTGGAAGAGACTAGTAGTCAAATGCATTTAAAATTGTGGCTGGGTCTAACATTCATTTAAAAGTCTAATGCTAACAGGTATAAAAGATGTTTGGGACCTTTTTGTGCGAACTATAGGTACAAGGAATCTACGTCCAGATGGTAAAAGTTTAAAACAAGAATGTAAGTCGTGAGATGGATGGGATAAAATTTTGTTACATTTTTTTTACATTTTGTATAAGCAGTGTAATGAATAATACTAAGCCTAAGTTTACTTAGACTGAAATTAAAATACCAGTGTTTTAGCAATAGGGACGGTGCAATTGTGAAGCGAAAAATTACAAATGGACTTTATATCAGATTTGTGTAACCTTACGTGGTTCATTGCCACCAGGTGGAGCACTGGGAGCAGCTGGCTGATGGATTATGGGAGGTCCTGGACCACCTGAGTAGCCCTGATAGTAGCCAGTCTGAGGGATCCCTCCCTTCTGGGGATAGCCAGCAGGCAGTAAAGGCCGACGTTCTGGTCCACCACCAGCTCCTGCTGTTAAGTCAACTTGCTCGTAGATATAGGTTTGTGGTTGTGGTTGCGTCATCACCGGCAGACGGGTGCCACCAAATTCTACATTTAAGTCACCAATCATAATCTCGATTACTGTATCCATTTGATCACAATTGCAGCCACTGAGTTCAAGCTCCAGCTGGAATGAAATGTACACGTGTTTACCACATTACTGCAACATCATCATGATGTTTATCACATGTAATGCCTTACCTACTTATGGTGCAGGAATGAAATTGACATGCAACTGGTTCACCTGATCAGCAGAAATTTATTTTGTAAGATATATGCTACAGGTTATGTTTTCACTATTTGTCTTCATTTATTTCACTTACTTTTCACTATCTGATTCAGGCTTATACAGCCCAATCACTTGTGGTCTGGTCATGTGAATTGTTTCAACAGCAATAGTGAGTGAATGAGAGAGTTCAGTTTTATGCCACTTTGAGCAATATTCCAGCAAGATCACGGCAGGGGACACCAGAAATGGGCTTCACACATTGTACCATGTGGGGAATTGAAACCGGGCCAAGTGAAGGCTTTCTCCACTAGGCTTCCCCACCGCAACAAGGAACCGATACTTACATGCAGTGAGTAAATGACATCTATACAGGAGGGCAGGACCTGCGATGGCAGGAGCTGATCTCCAAGTGTTATGTCAGGTGTCCAGACTTCATCCACCCCTGGTTGCACCTTGTGAGAGTATTCTTTCAGAACTACAAAGTCACCAGTCCATACTTGCCCTCTGACTGTATATTGAACACTCTAGAAAACAACAACCAATATTCATAACATATCTTTTACATGTTCTAGAAGTTTTTAGAACAAGAAGACCTGTAATTTATATGGATATTATGAATTTCAAATTTGCAAATAGTTAATGGCACCACTTCAGGAACTGTTTGATATATCTGCCACGTTTTGTTGATAGATATTGAACGTTGTAGTAGTTATGCTCAGGAAACGAAATGCACCCCTTCTTGACACTTAGTCCAAATTGTTTACATGAAACATTCAGAAAAAAATAAATGCTAAAAATCTGTACATAGCAAAAGGCACCACTTTACGTTCTGTTTGATATATTTCCCAATTTTTTTTGAGTTATGGTTTTTGAGTTATGTTCTGCAAAGGAAATGATTACGGGGTGAAAGATGGGGCACATTATACGCCAGGGGGATAAGAATGTTACAACCTTCGGCTACCTTACAAGATACAAGCTAGGATTACATAAACACACATTTTGTGGATTTTATAGAGGCCAGCTGTGATGCACATTTCTGTATGAAATTTCCTATTTTACAGCTCTGATATCTGTCACAACATTGTTATTTATGATCTGTAAGTTGTTACTTATAAGATCTGATCCTACTTTATGGTTTCTATACACCCAGCACAAGGACCCTGAACCATCAGTTGTTTCCATGTGCATCGCCTTGCACAAATATGACTAAAGGCACAATGTCACACCACACTTCTCTAAAAATAAAATAATGCATTTCTCTCAATAATACTAACTATGCACAAATATGATTAAAGGCACAATGTCACACCACACTTCTTCCAAACTAAAATAATGCATTTCTTTCAATAATACTAACTATGCACAAATATGATTAAAGGCACAATGTCACACCACACTTCTCTAAAAATAAAATAATGCATTTCTCTCAATAATACTAACTATGCACAAATAGGATTAAAGGCACAATGTCACACCACACTTCTTCCAAACTAAAATAATGCATTTCTTTCAATAATACTAACTATGCACAAATATGATGAAAGGCACAATGTCACACCACACTTCTCTAAACATAAAATAATGCATTCCTCTCAATAATACTAACTATGCACAAATATGACTAAAGGCACAATGTCACACCACACTTCTCTAAAAATAAAATAATGCATTTCTCTCAATAATACTAACTATGCACAAATATGACTAAAGGCACAATGTCACACCACACTTCTCTAAAAATAAAATAATGCATTTCTCTCAATAATACTAACTATGCACAAATATGACTAAAGGCACAATGTCACACCATACTTCTCTAAAAATAAAATAATGCATTTCTCTCAATAATACTAACTATGCACAAATATGACTAAAGGCACAATGTCACACCACACTTCTATAAAAATAAAATAATGCATTTCTCTCAATAATACTAACTATGCACAAATATGACTAAAGGCACAATGTCACACCACACTTCTATAAAAATAAAATAATGCATTTCTCTCAATAATACTAACTATGCACAAATATGACTAAAGGCACAATGTCACACCATACTTCTCTAAAAATAAAATAATGCATCTCTCTCAATAATACTAACTATGCACAAATAGGATTAAAGGCACAATGTCACACAACACTTCTTTCAAACTAAAATAATGCATTTCTCTCAATAATACTAACTATGCACAAATATGACTAAAGGCACAATGTCACACCACACTTCTCTAAAAATAAAATAATGCATTTCTCTCAATAATACTAACTATGCACAAATATGACTAAAGGCACAATGTCACACCACACTTCTCTAAAAACAAAATAATGCATTTCTCTCAATAATACTAACTATGCACAAATAGGATTAAAGGCACAATGTCACACCACACTTCTCTAAAAATAAAATAATGCATTTCTCTTAATAATACTAACTATGCTCAAATATGATTAAAGGCACAATGTCACACCACACTTCTTTCAAACTAAAATAATGCATTTCTCTCAATAATACTAACTATGCACAAATAGGATTAAAGGCACAATGTCACACCACACTTCTCTAAAAATAAAATAATGCATTTCTCTCAATAATACTAACTATGCACAAATATGATTAAAGGCACAATGTCACACCATACTTCTCTCAAACTAAAATAATGCATTTCTCTCAATAATACTAACTATGCACAAATAGGATTAAAGGCACAATGTCACACCACACTTCTTCCAAACTAAAATAATGCATTTCTCTCAATAATACTAACTATGCACAAATATGATTAAAGGCACAATGTCACACCACACTTCTCTAAAAATAAAATAATGCATTTCTCTCAATAATACTAACTATGCACAAATATGACTAAAGGTACAATGTCACACCACACTTCTCTAAAAATAAAATAATGCATTTCTCTCAATAATACTAACTATGCACAAATAAGACTCAAGGCACAATGTCACACCACACTTCTATAAAAATAAAATAATGCATTTCTCTCAATAATACTAACTATGCACAAATAGGATTAAAGGCACAATGTCACACCACACTTCTCTAAAAGTAAAATAATGCATTTCTCTCAATAATACTAACTATCAGCCCTCAGGAAAGCTACCATATAATTTATTCCAAATACAATTACGTATTTAGATTACAATATTAAACTAAAAAGTTCGATTAAATTAAGGCAATGTTGCATTAAATCGGCTCTTGCACCCTCTACTGACCGAACATTATTTCAAGAGAACCTCATAGAGTTATGTCCCTTGGAGCACTCTTTACGAATATCCTGTGCACAACTTGTGATTTAAACCAGTTCAGCAAACACCGACAACACTGATGTATGGAGCAATTGTTTACATTCCATATGTGGCAAGTATGCTTGGATTGGAAGCTGTTCGCCTCAAAGTTTCAATTATCAATTTCAGGCAAGTTGTAAAGGATAATAAGTCATTTATTGCATCAATAGGAAGCTAAAGTGTGTGCATATGCCCCAATATGTATAATATAGGCCAAAATATAGTCGAAAACGTGAGGCATTGTGCCTTTAAATATAATCAACAGAAGCACCCATGAAAGAAGCTGACCTCGCAACACAGGTTTCAAGAAGACAAAGATGGCATATTGAAGGGCAGAGAAATATAGGCTAGAGGCCAGTACGAATGTCATACTACATATGAGACAATATGCAATATGGTTGTTGAACAGTTTTGTTTAGCATTACATTATTCAGGTGTTTTTACCGTAATACAACTGGTATTGTAATGAGTGAGTGAGTGAGTTTGAGTTTACGCTGCTTTTAGCAATATTCCAGCAATATCATGGCGGGGACGCCAGAAATGAGCTTCACACACTGTACCCATGTGGGGAATCAAACCCGGGTCTTCGGCGTGACGAGCGAACGCTTTAACCACTAGGCTACCCCACCGCCCGGTATTGTAATGAATCTTATATATCCCGATGCGTGTCTTGTAACATTATGTATGTATTCATTTGCTTGTATCAGGATACAAGTGTCGCTGTATCATTATACCACTAAGGACCAATGAGTGAGTGAGTGGGTATGGATTTTCTTCGCTTATGGAAATATTCTAGAAACATCACGGCAAGGGACACCAGAAATGGGCTTCACACATTGTACCCATGTGGGGAATTGAACCCGGATCTTTGGCGTGACAAGCTAACGCTTTAACCAGTAGGCTACCCCACCGCCCCAATGAAGGCACATGACATGCACAACACATATAACTAAACTAATTAAATTGAATTTTCTCATCAGGTGAGCTAGAAGAAAAACAAAACACACCAACCTTACTGAATTTTAGCTCAGCAACAACAGAGGCTTGTGTGCTATTTGTCATCTCAATAACTGGTCTGATTGTTTCTGTCCTTTCGAACCCTTTCTTTGGTAAAATAATCTTATAACTGTATGATCCAGTGGCTCAACAAAAACAGCAGTTGGAATCTTCACCTTTTTCCTCACACGGAGACTGCAGCAAAGCAATCAATGAGCAACTTAAAACATATTTGAACATATTTCAATTGTGAACTGACGAACTGACTGATTGAATTACAGCAAAACAAGACCAGGTCATGGCAAATGCACAAATGTGATTTTCCTGAGACATCATAAAGCGAAATTTTAAAGAAAGTTTTTTCTCTCAATGTTTGTAGTTAATTTCTGATATAAATTACAGGAATATCATAGATTAACAGACAAGCAGCACCATTGGTGCTATAGTCATATGTTTGGTGCTGGTGAGCTAAAACCATTGGTGCTATAGTCATATGTTTGGTCCTGCTCAGCTAAAACCATTGGCACAATAGTCATATGTTTGGTCCTGCTGAGCTAAAACCATTGCACTATAGTCATACATTTGGTCCTGGTGAGTTAAAACCATTGGTGCTGTAATCTTACAATTTGGTCCTGTTGAGCTAACACCATTGGCGTTATAGTCATATGTTTGCTCCTGGAGAGCTAAAACCATTGGCACTATGGTCATACATTTGGTCTGAGAGAGCTAAAGCCATTGGTAGTCATATTATTGATCCTGATGAACTAAAATGATTGGCCTCAAGCATGTTATCCATAGGATAGATTTTCCCAAATACATGCATTCTACTCACCAAGGCAGACAGAGATTGATTCAAGTCAAACAAGCCATGTATCTGGAAATCCTTCCGACATGTGATGTCAGCTCCATATGGCCTCTGGTCAATGGAGGCCTCTATCCAGTATGTGATGAAGCCATGATCACCCTTGAAGGAGGAGGGCAAAGAAGTGGGGACTTCAAATCTGAATGGAAGCTGATGCTGTCCTGGAGCTAGAATGCCTTGACTTCTACAATCTGACAAGAAAACGTCAAGCACACACATTATTCCTTATTACTGACACACAATCTAGTAAAGTACACTTTATGTATATTTATCATGTTGCCCCATGATATAGAGAACTGTGGGTAACATAAGGTGAGTGAGTGAGCTGGGTTTTATGCCACTTTTAGCAATATTTCGGCAGGGGGCACCAGAAGTGGCCTTCACATGATGTACCCATGTGGGGAATTGAACTCTGGGCTTCAGCGTGATGAGTGAACCCTTTAACCGCCCCTTGGGTACTATCAAGGGATGATATCAAGTCTGTGAGAATGATGAGTAACCTGCCATGAAGCATTGGTGCAAGTACATGTCACCAACCAAAATACCAAGTTTGAGCCTCAGATTCATGGTAGTCGCCTTGGTTTTATGAGACAGGGTTACCATGGTTATGGCAGACTTTCGCCAGTTGGAATCAACATGGGGATGGAACATGTGGAGCTGAGGAAAGATATGGTTGTTGCCCTCATTCGCTTGTAAAATACCACTCAACAATATTCCAGTATCAATGAATCAGTGAGTGAGTGAGTTTAGTTTTACGCTGTGTTTAGCAATATTCCAGCAATATCACGGTGGACATCATAAAGGACCATCACACATTGTACCCATGTGGGGAATTGATCCCAGATCTTCAGCATTACATGCAAGCGCTTTAACCACTAGGCTACTTCACCGCCCATCCAGCTATCAGACAGAGGTCTGTAGTAACTGAGTCTGGACCACACAGTTCAGTGATTGACATAATGAGCATCAATCTATATATCTGGAATATGGTGACATACATCAACCAAGTCGCCGAACCTGACTGTAAGCTGACCCACATGACAAGAAGGGGTTCCTGAAGACCAGTCCTAACCCAGATCTTCACAGGGCCTCAGTTATACATAACCATAACAATGATAAATAATAATTACCCAACAGCTGAAGTTTCGGCAATACCATTAACTCCCTTTCCACATGATACTTCTCATTTTTAAAATTTTCTTGGAGATTGGTGAAAGTCTCTTTTTGAAGTTCGTTCCATTCCTCTCCATTGAACATCCCATAATAAACACACATGTGACCTCGAGCTGACAGAAATATCCCTGTAAGAAAAAACAGATTGAATGAGAGTTGCCACTTTTTAAAACAGTCATTAAGGAGAAGTTAAGGGTGACTGAGTGAGTTTAGTTTTATGCCGCACTCAGCAATATTCCAGCTATATGGCGGCAGTCTGTAAATAATCGAGTCTGGACCAGATAATCCAGTGATCAACAGCATGAGCATCAATCTGCACATTTGGGAACTGATGACACGTGTAAAGTCACCAGGAACAAACATATGACAATAGAGAGCCTGACCACCCGATCGAGTTATTATTATAGGATATTTATATAGCGGACATATCCATGCAACTAGTGCATGCACAAGGCGCCGCTTACGAGAAGCATGGGTTACCGACGGTAATCCATGCTTATTGTTAGGGGTGGATATTGCAGAGAATTTTCATATAGCGATATATTGCGATGTGAAAGCATATATTGCGATATGTATTGCAATATATTGCAAGAAGTTTTATTTAACAAAAAAGTATTTATAATCGAGTTAATGCTTGTTTTATAAAGCGAAAACACAACAAAATCACTATACTTGATTAAGCTTTAATCAAAACTTTTAATCATGACAAAATAAAACTGTAAATAATATTTGGCACAAATGAAACAAGGAAAAGAACAATTTAACATCAACACAGTGGTTACTAGTTTGAATTAGTTCCTCTACTCTCAAAATACGCCCTGAGATTTTAGACAGCAACTTGACCTAGTCAGACATATCAGAGATCACTGGTCATTAATGAGTAAATACACTTGAACAAAAATTCAGAACACAACTTAAAACCGAACTTAACAATCCAGTTCAATGTAATTTTCACCACAATCATTCCCACCAGCATTACCACAATTGCCACAATCATCACCACACCATTATCAAAGTCATCATCAACATCATCATCATCATCATCATCATCATCATCACCACCATCATCATCATTATCATCACCACCACCATTTTACAACAGACGCATGACTTCCGGTGTGAAAAACGGAAATATCGGAAGATTTCCAAGTGTTACGAAGTTTTCCGAATGCGTGTGAAAATACCGGTTTTCGATCATACATATCGTTTTCATGTCTGAACCGGAAAATACCGATAAACTGGTTCTATTGCGCTGCCCTAGTTACCAAGATCAATTCTAACCCGAATCTTCACGGGTCTATAACCAGTTAAGCCACAATCCCTAAACCTGCTCTACTTAAAGGAATTAGGTTTCTTATTCAACAATAAACATTTGAACTGCTCTTTCAGAAAGTGACATTACTTGAACTGTGTGGCTGTGCATGCAGCAAATATATAAAGCACAAGCTTACAAACATTCTGACTCATTACTTCCTAACAAATCTAACAATTACCAAAAATAAGATCAATGGATCAGTGTGCTCTAAAATTGTCATTCTCAGCTCCCTGGGGAGAATACAGCTTTACAGTCACTTTACCAATCCTACCAGGTATCCATTAACTGCTGGTTAAAGTTACTGATTTCAACAAGGTCATTTGCCGCATGTAAGTTAACATGTTTCAAAGTGAGGTATTGCTGGAATATTGCTAAAGCTCTTAAACATACATTACACAAAACGTGCAAAGTCCTAGTTTCAACATGCTGAAACTGATTGTCAATCATTTTATAGTTACTGACATTAAACTATTAACCACGTGTGGGTGAGTGAGTACAGTTTTATACTGCTTTTAGCAATATTCCAGCAATATCATGATGAAACACCAGAAATAGGTTTCACACATTACACCCATGTGGTGAATCGAACCCATATAACCATGACATGAGGAGAGCGGTTATATGAATTAGTCATACCAACTTCAACATGTTCAAGAGCATTACATAAGTGTTACTTTATTGTCATGGTTACAAGTACATGCATCAGGTCTACCAAAGAAAACCAGCAAAGAGATGACACACTGTTGAATTTGTAACATCTTAAACAGATCAGTCACAGATATTATAACACAAACAATCCCCTCAATTTCACTGTCCCTCATAAATACAACCATGTATAATGTAGCATTGGTGTTACAGAACTGTTCAATGTCCCTCATATAAACAATGGTGTATCTGTGTTACCTTCTTACACTGTACCTTTTATATACTTTGAGTTTTAACAAAGAATATGTTACACACTATTCAATGTCCCTCATATAAACAATGGTGTATCTGTGTTACCTTCTTACACTGTACCTTTTATATACTTTGAGTTTTAACAAAGAATATGTTACACTGTACCTTATATATACTATGATGTATAACAAAGAATATGTTACACTGTACTTTCATATACTATGAGTTATAACAAAGAATATGTTACACTGTACTTTCATATACTATGATTTATAAAAAAGAATATGTTACACTGTACCTTTTATATACTATGATTAATAACAAAGAATGTTACACTGTACCTTATATATACTATGGTGTATAACAAAGGATATGTTACACTGTACCTTATATATACTATGATGTATAACAAAGAATATGTTACACTGTACCTTATACATACCATGATTTATAACAAAGAATATGTTACACTGTACCTTATATATACTATGAGTTATAACAAAGAATATGTTACACTGTACCTTATATATACTATGAGTTATAACAAAGAATATGTTACACTGTACCTTTTCTATACTATGATGTATAACAAGGAATGTTACACTGTACCTTTTATATACTATGATGTATAACAAAGAATATGTTACACTGTACCTTATATATACTATGAGTTATAACAAAGAATATGTTACACTGTACCTTTTATATACTATGATGTATAACAAACAATGTTACACTGTACCTTATATATACTATGATGTATAACAAATAATATTACACTGTACCTTATATATACTATGATGTATAACAAAGAATGTTACACTGTACCTTTTCTATACTATGAGTTATAACAAAGAATATGTTACACTGTACCTTATATATACTATGTTGTATAACAAAGAATGTTACACTGTACCTTTCATATACTATGAGTTATAACAAAGAATATGTTACACTGAACTTTCATATACTATGATTTATAACAAAGAATATGTTACACTGTACCTTTTCTATACTATGATGTATAACAAAGAATATGTTACACTGTACTTTCATATACTATGATTTATAACAAAGAATATGTTACACTGCACTTTCATATACTATAATTTATAACAAAGACTATGTTACACTGTACCTTTTATATACTATGATTAATAACAAAGAATGTTACACTGTACCTTATATATACTATGATGTATAACAAAGGATATGTTACACTGTACCTTATATATACTATGATGTATAACAAAGAATATGTTACACTGTACCTTATACATACTATGATTTATAACAAAGGATATGTTACACTGTACCTTATATATACTATGATGCATAACAAAGAATATGTTACACTGTACCTTATACATACTATGGTTTATAACAAAGAATGTTACACTGTACATTGTATATACTATGAGTTATAACAAAGAATATGTTACACTGTACCTTATATATACTATGAGTTATCAGAAAGAATATGTTACACTGTACCTTTTATATACTATGATGTATAACAAGGAATGTTACACTGTACCTTTTATATACTATGATGTATAACAAAGAATATGTTACACTGTACCTTATATATACTATGATTTAAAACAAAGAATATGTTACACTGTACTTTCATATACTATGATTTATAACAAAGAAATTGTTACACTGTACCTTTTATATACTATGATTAATAACAAAGAATGTTACACTGTACCTTATATATACTATGATGTATAACAAAGGATATGTTACACTGTACCTTATATATACTATGATGTATAACAAAGAATATGTTACACTGTACCTTATACATACTATGATTTATAACAAAGAATATGTTACACTGTACCTTATATATACTATGAGTTATAACAAAGAATATGTTACACTGTACCTTATATATACTATGAGTTATAACAAAGAATATGTTACACTGTACCTTTTATATACTATGATGTATAACAAAGAATATTACACTGTACCTTATATATACTATGATGTATAACAAAGAATATTACACTGTACCTGATATATACTATGAGTTATAACAAAGAATATGTTACACTGTACCTTATATATACTATGATGTATAACAAAGAATGTTACACTGTACCTTTTCAATACTATGATGTATAACAAAGAATATGTTACACTGTACCTTATATATACTATGAGTTATAACAAAGAATATGTTACACTGTACCTTTTCTATACCATGATGTATAACAAGGAATGCTACACTGTACCTTTTATATACTATGATGTATAACAAAGAATGTTACACTGTGCCTTTTCTATACTATGAGTTATAACAAAGAATATGTTACACTGTACCTTATATATACTATGATGTATAACAAAGAATGTTACACTGTACCTTTTCTATACTATGATGTATAACAAAGAATGTTACACTGTACCTTTTCTATACTATGATGTATAACAAAGAATATGTTACACTGTACCTTTTCTATACTATGATGTATCACAAGGAATGTTACACTGTACCTTTTATATACTATGATGTATAACAAAGAATGTTACACTGTGCCTTTTCTATACTATGAGTTATAACAAAGAATATGTTACACTGTAACTTATATATACTATGATGTATAACAAAGAATGTTACACTGTACCTTATATCTACTATGATGTATAACAAAGAATGTTACACTGTACCTTTTCTATACTATGATGTATAACAAAGAATGTTACAGTGTACCTTATATATACTATGATGTATAACAAAGAATGTCACACTGTACCTTTTCTATACTATGATGTATAACAAAGAATATGTTACACTGTACTTTCATATACTATGAGTTATCACAAAGAATATGTTACACTGTACCTTTTATATACTATGATTTATAACAAAGAATATGTTACACTCTACCTTATATAT